CTGATGGCTAGTTCCAGCAGGGTACACAAAGCCCAAACTCGTTTCTTCAAAATGACAGTGAATTACACACTTATCAGATCTCAATCCCATAGCACCTTTGACATGTGGCGCTACAGGAGATTTTTATCATGTGATGCTATCATGTCAGCATAGACCAAAAGCTCAGAGGAATGTTTCCAGCATCTTGTTGAATCTATGCGAATTAACACAGTTTTTAAGGGAAAAGCAGATTGAACCTGGTGCTAGCACAGTGTACCCAATAAAGTGGTCAGTGAGTGTGTGTGTGTGCAGAGAGAGCAGCAATGCAAACTCAAATGGTTTGTAATAAGTTGTGATCTGCAGATACTTAAAGGGTTAACGTTGATGCTGTTGGCTTGTATTAAGCATGAAATCTATATATAGGTATGTGTCACACTTAAGCATAGATTAAATAACATTACAGCTATTGGTTTGAAAAAAATCCTGCAACTTCACATGACGTCTGATTTTGTTATAAAGGTAAAAACGTACCAAAACTCTGGTGAATGCTTTTGAATGACTAAACATAAAGATGTTTATACATTCACAAACCTTCAAATTTAACTATACTGATTTAAAAAAAAAAAATAGGTGATTAAATAAGATTAAATAAGTTTATTCCATTGTTACATTAAAACATAATGTTAAGCACATAAAACATAACAAAATCAGATTGATATATATGTAGTTTATAATAGGACCATACAAATGTAAAAGATTGCCTAAAATCATAATAAATACTATAACGTAATATAAGTATACATTTAGGTAAAATATTATGCATTCATATATTTAAAAAATCAAATACATATTATAGAATAATATAAAGATCTATGAAAGGTGGAAGCACAGAAACCAGTCGTAAATAATCACATTTCCAGAAGAAAAAACAATTTCAAGCCCTTTCAATCTTTTTTTTTTTTTTTTATGCATTTTGTTTAGAAAGTTTCCAAATGCCCAGATCATATATCGTGGAATTACTTTTAAGCTTGTTTACAGAACATTTTCCTGGTACACAGGGGAATTGCAAAATTGCATGTATGATCTGTTTCAAACCAGAACCTTACAGCAACGACATTATGGCCCATTAGCAGTCTTTATTCAAAGCCACAGCTCCAATCTAGTCGATGAATTATGCATTGGTCTGGATACAGAGTGCACTAATTGACTTAAACCATCCATCTCTGGTATTAAAATCCTCAGCAGGTGCAGATACTATCTTGCACTGCTGGAACAAAATGTTTTCTAATGCTTTGCACTGTAAAATCAGAAGTCACAAACTGTGAATTATACTGACTATAAAAGTATAAAAGTAGAAACTAATTCTCAGATCACTGGACAGCAACAGCTGCATGGCTGATTTACTAGAATAATGTTAATGCCTGTTTTGACCCATTGCCTTGCAAACATACTATGTGAACTTGGCAATACACAAACAATATAATACATGCAACATTCCAGAGGGAAAAGATCAATTAAAAAGTTTACGGTGTTGAAATGAATAATTTCAAGGCATGCAGTCTTTTTATTTTGTTTTTTTAAATGTTGCTTTTATGTCGTGATTCAAATATCCCATTTTACAGACTATGCATTTTGGATTTCATTACTTTATGGCCTTTATAAGGACAGTTCAATCCAAAATAAAGTCATAATCCTAAGATATGTAAATGCTAACATAACTAGTATATCTAAAACTAGCCAACTCTCACCAAACAATCTGATAGACAAGTAGCACAGCAGGCCAGTTGAGGGTGTGTGTGTGTGTGTGTGGATTTAATTTAAGAGGTGAACTTTCCCTTTTAAATGATTGGCTTTACCATATATGGACCAAATACCATCACCCTGACGGTATTTGTCATGCCACTCTGCTTTAAGTGCTCCAGGACGCCACTCGAGCCTGGCCAGTCAACCCCGCCTCCCCACAGCTGAAGGTCACTTTGGTCCTTAACCTTGAATGTTCTGTTGCTCTTCAGAATGGACTTCGACAACCTCAGCTGTAGTCTCACTTGCTGCTTTTGAAGCATCATCTTCCTGCTCGTCATCTGAGCTATCAGCCCATCGCCCAACCCTTCTGACTCCCTCACCCACTGCTGGGGCATTAACACAGGGGTTGTGGTCATAGATCACAAGTTTTAACCCCTGCATGTGAGAAAGGCTAGGAAAATGACGTATTCTGTTCCGATCTACATCAACAACAGCCAGAGAGTGCATTTCAAGCAACACTGGTGGGAAATCTGGCAGTTGGTTCCCAGCAAACCAAATACTTCGCAGCTCGTGCAGCCGTCCAAATTCTTTGGGTAAACTCCGTATCTGGTTATATCCGAGGTGCAGGGTCTTTAGATTTGAGAGCTCACAAACAACCTTAGGGAAAACAGTGAAGCAATTAGTCTCCAGCCACAGAGTGCTAAGTTCCCTAAGCTCTCTCAGCTCTACGGGGAGGTGATAAAGCCTGTTATTACCCAAGTAAAGAATACTAAGCTGGGGCAACCTGCATATGGCTAGTGGGAGCTCCTCAAAGCAGTTAAAATCGAGGGCCAGAAGCTGCAGCTTTCTCAGGCTCTGCACTTCAGCCGGTAAGCTGCTGAGGTTGTTGTCACTCAGGTAAAGCTTCACCAACTCATTGAAGAGACAGGCAGCAACAGGCAGCTTTCGCAGCTGTCGGCTACTCAGGTCCAGGGTCCGATCTAGTGGCATCTCCTTCAGGTCCCCAACTAAGAAGCGCTGGCAGCGTTCAGAAGGAATGAAGGCGAGAATACTTCTCATGGCATTGCCCATTTTTCTTACTGTTTCTGCCACAAGACTGTTACTCGACATCCATCTCCTTTATCTTCAAGTGAATTTCATGGTGTTCCATTAACACTCCTCCACTTCCCCTCTGCGTTTATTCATCTTGATAATCAAGAAAAAAGAAACAGTGAAATCATACAACAGCTTAGGAAGGAGGATGACACATCAGTTATATTATGAAGTGCATCCTTTAATGTAATAAAGGGGATGTTGTGTCAAGGTAATATATAATAAAATTAAACAGAAAAACATTGTAAGTGTTAAGATGTTCATACAAAAAATTCAAAATACCTTCTTTCTAATGTCTTGCTGATGATATCCAGTATGACTCCCAGTATCTCCTACAGTAAGCCATTTGTTTATCCAACTTAATGAGCTGAAAACTTATTGTATTCCCTGGGCAGATATTTCCCAGTGCAGTCCTCTCACTATCTCTCTGTGGCTCCAAGCTCTGCCAGACTCTCATGGCTATAGCAACCACTAGCTCTCTCCTCCCCATTTGTGCCTAATGACTTTCCCCTCTTCTTCTCTGAGATGACAGAGGTGGGAGAGAGAGAAACAGGGAGGGGCAGGGTGACATGGATAAGCAGAATAAGTGCTTTGTGATGAAAGAGCAACAAAGGTCATTTGCATTCTGCTGTAATCATCCCAGAGGCAGTCTTGGGTGGAAGCCACTGGGCTCAACAGGTGAAATGTTCTTAGCAATTTGCCAGTGTTTGCAGGGATATCAGATTACTTTGATTAGAGTATACTATGTTTTCAGTTATGGAAAATCTCTGTAGATCTGTGTTTTGCCAATGCCACATTGTATAGTCTTGGAAATGGGTTCATTTAAAATCAACACATAGCAGGTCAAATCCTCCAAATCCAAACAATCTTCATGCAAGCTTATACTCAAAGATGAATATCCTGTAAGTAAGCTGGATATCTTACAAGAGGTGTGAAGTGTCCATGCTATCTGACATATCTTCATTGGGGCTATTTTCCAACTAGATAAAAATTAGGAAGGGATTTCATTGTCCTTATCTGAGGGGGCAATAGTTGACCCTCATCTGCTTTCACTCACTGACACACTGTTTTTATCACTTTCCCGCAGCCACTTACTGCCAGAGCACAATAGTGTGACTGTCATAAAAGATCCTGTTCATATTAAAAATCTGGATATCTCACAGGAAGGGAAGCACAGATATAATATATGGTTCCAGGGTGAAGTAACTGGAATGGAAACATAATTAATTTTATACCTGCCTTTTCTACTGTAAAACCCATTTATTTCCCCCCCTTACACTAGGCTTACTTGTTGTTCCCAAAGCTTTCAGCTATGTCCAGTTCTTTTCCTCAGCAGATAAATAATGATGATTGATGGTTTGCCAAACACTTTAAGTCTAACTGATAAAGGATCATTATAACAGCCTTAAGACGCCATCTGCTGAGGAAGTCCATACAATGTGGTTTTAAGTTTCCGGGCCACATTAAATTCATGTGAAGCTGCTGTTTTCCAACCTCACTGAGTAATTCATGCCACTGTGAACAGTGTTAGCTCCTGCAGGTCCACTTTAAAATACCTCTGACTACCAGGCTTTTCTCAACTACTCATTTTATGTAAGATATGAACAGATATAGCCCCCAGTTTGTTGTGTGCTAATTTGATTAAATGTAGAAATACAGTAAAAACAAACAAACAAAAAACGTTAAGTAAAAAACAACCAAAAACCCAGTTGTGACATAAGGCCCTTGTCAACACGTAAAGTTCATGTTTTTGCACAGAAACCTGTGAGATTTGGGATACTCTATGAGATATGTGTCAAATGTGGTTGGTAACCCAACTTTTATTGCTGACAATCACATCCTCTGCAGTATGTAAATCCACACATTTATTTTACTGGAGTGAGACACCTGATGTTCACACGAGGGAGACAAAAACTCGACAGTGTCATATTTGCTTTAAATGACTGCAAAATCTTCTTTTTTTTCTTTCCCCCTCCGTGAAGTACTTTTCTGGATATCTGTTGGTTCTTCTCCCAGCACCCTGTTAGGGAAACTATCAGATGTGTTCGTTTTTGTGTACGGAAGTGATCAGCAGGTTGTAAGGTCAGGGGGTAAAGGCTAGACCTCTTTCGATTGAGAATACTCACAGCCATCTTGGATCTAACGAAGCGAAGGGAAATTGATGCGGTGAGATTATTTTACTTATTTTTGTTCTTATGTTAAAATTGCCCTATGTAAATTAAACTCCGTCAGCTGGAGCTTTTTACCTCCCTTGCTTTCTTTCGTTTAAATACGTAGCACGTCGTTAGCCTTTAGCATCCGCAGATTGTCGCTATTGGTCTATCTGCTCCTACTGCCACTGCCTGCAATCGGAGCATAAACTGAGCCGTGAAAACACACAGCTGACAGTGGATAAACGGAGGCAAAGAGGGCCAGTGTTACTGGTAGCTAAACCACTGTGTATTTCTCAGTTTAAACGCTCTGTTACTTTGGTTGTTTTTAGAGTAGCCAGTTAGCAAGCTGACGTTAAGCTAGCTAAGCTAACTCAAAGTGACAAGCACCTAGCCTGCTAATGTTAGCTACCTAAACTAGTGTTGGCTAGCCTGTTAGCTTTGTTGCTGTTAAACACATCAATAGTAAAGTTTAACGGGATGGAACTTAACAACCAGTTCTGCTGTCATCTCATTTAGTTAATAGGTATCGTAGGGCTGCAGTTTTTGTTTTTTTTTGTTGTAAAAGTCAAATAAATCAATCTTCATTTTAAATTCGTAGAGAAAGCAACTATTCAAAAGTTTATTTTAAGAACCGTAAGGTGCCAGTTGTAGCCCATTGAATTACAAAGAAATTATAACATATTGCATTTCCAGATGCTTCCATTTAACTTAGCCTTGCAGTCATATAAGATATCTTTTTTGTTTATACAAAGGTTGTGAAATATCAACGCTGTGTGGCGGCAATAAAGTTCCAGTTGCACAAACAATACAATGCGGTGCTGTTAGTTTCAGACATGGGCTATTCAGTCTCAGATCATTGGGGTTTTTAACAACATTTTCTGCTCAGCCGTCTTTGATTTGCCTAAAAAATGTGTAGTCCAAAGTTTAAACATATAGACTGATTGCTGTGAAATTTCAGCATCGCATAGGAAGTACTTTAAATATAAGGTACTTGAGATATACAGTACTGTGCAAAAGTTTTAAGCAGGTGAGGAAAGATGCTGTAAACAAAGAATGCTTTCAAAAATGCAAGTGTTAATCATTTATTTTAATCAAACAACAAAATGCAGTGAAGGAACAAAAGAGAAATCTAAATCAAATCAGTATTTGGTGTGGCCACCCTTTGCCTTCAAAACAGCATCAATTCTTTTAGGTATACTTGCACACAGTTTTTGACGGAGCTCGGCTGGTAGGTTGTTCTAAACATCTTGGACAACTAACCACAGATCGTCTGTGGATTTAGGCTTGTCAATGATATATACGTGTGTGTTTCCCCCAACACATTGATTTGATATCTGAAGCAGTGTTTGAACTCGAATATCTGAGAATCTGTTAAAGAGAACTGGCTTCTTTTACCATGAAAGTGAATCAGGTTCTTTAAATGGGAGCAAATACAGTAAAAAGTTCCAAGAATTATTCAAATGTGTTTAAAAAAAAAAATCCGTCTCATAGACTAACAAAAAAGAATAACATTAGTTATTAGTTAGAGACAGTTTCTGGAAGGTATTGACATATTTCACAATAGTACAAAATCAAACATGTAGAATGCTTAATCACAGAAATGAAGAAATAGTTATTTTTATTCAGCTGCCATTCTGGATTGAGGAAGCCTAACAAGTTGTGCTGCATAACAAAAATTTCAGCCTAGTAGTCTTATCAGATTAGAACAGATTTCTCTGGTTTCCAAGGTGCTCTCATTATAACTGAGAAAGTACTTCTGCTAAACATAATCTATGCAAATTTGTTATTTTCACTTGCTCCCTGACCCTTGCTCTAAGTTTAAAATGTAGTCAGAGGGATTAAAAATGCAACAAGTACTCATGTAAAAAAAAAAAATCACAAATACAAATAAGTATAGCAAAACAGGAGTAATGAGTCAGTAGTGTTCCAAGGCCAAGTTGCCATCAACACAAGGTGCAATTGGCAGTCTGATACAAGACTCTAACCCTAGGAGCTAAATTCTAATCTTAATTCCCCGTATGTGCTTCTTTAACTCTAATCCTTACCTATTAGCCAGTATGCCTTGAGCTGACTCCTATTCAAAACCCAGGAGGAACCAAAACTGGGATTCACCCCCTGCCTGCTTACTCTTCTGAACCTGCTTCCACCTTCCTTACCCCAGAGGAATGCTGAGGGGGTTTTAGGACACACAATACACCTTAACGGGTGGTTTGGATTGCTTGATGCCAATTTATTATCCACTTCTGATCCCTGCAATGTCTCCTTGCTAATTTCTTCTCCCCATCACAGACTTAGAGTAGTATAAGGTGCAGGGTACTAGTGGTCACATATGTTTGTCTGTGCATTATCTTGACCAAACCAATTTGGCCGACGGACCATTTCGGAGAGAGTCTTTAGCAGAAAATGCGTACCCCTGTTCCTAATTCTTACCCTGCTGCTGCAACTGTGAGCAGAGATCAGGCAATTGCCACGCTGACTGCCTGAATGAATGCTGCAAGAATTATTCTATAAATACTAAAATTAAAAAGAATTTTAATGTCCAATTTTGAAACCATAACATTTTTAGGCTAGTATAGAAGTTGACCAGAAAATATTGTATAGGTTGAAACTTACTGGCTCTGAATTTTATCTAGTTCAAGTAGAAATCTAAAGAGAATTAAAATTCAAATCTAAGCCACAGTATAAGTTCAAAAAGTTCACTCTTGAGCGTCTGCTTTCTTTCACATGCACATTTTAATTAATGTTCCTTTCTCTCTCTTCAGGTGACGAAAGGCATGTTTGGTGCTAGAAAGAAATTTGTAGAGTTCGTTGACGTTGTCGATAACGACTTTACCGATGAAAGCATGTACTACAACCAGCCGACGATGTTTCCACATCGGTCGGATAAAGATGTGAGTTTTGTGTGCTGGTACACCTTTCTTACCTGTTGAGATTTTTTTTCCACATTTATCTTACTCTGTTCTGTCCTTGAATGTTTTTCTCCAGATGCTGTCCTCTCCCTCACCATCGTCATCGGGTCAGCTGTCGCAGCTCGGTGCGAGTTTATATGGTCCACAAAGTGAGTGCTGACCTTTATCTTACAGCCTGTTACATCAGTTTTGTCATTTGTGATGGACTTAAAATCGTAAAGACAATTCTGCTTTTTACCTCTGAACTAGAGTTAAAGTTTGATTGTGTTATTTGAACAGATAACTGAAAAGCTTTCTTTTGTCTTTGTGCAGGTGCACTCGGCTTCTCAGTAAGAGGCATGGGAAACAACACACCTCAGTTAAACCGAAGTCTAACGCAAGGTTCGCAGCTACCGAGTCATATCACCCCCACAACAGGAGTCCCCACCATGTCTCTCCATACCCCACCATCACCAAGCAGGTGAGTGTGAACTTGACCGATTAATCGTGCTGTTTAAGAAAACTTTGAATTCACTAAATTGGACGATGATGTTTTAACAGGGGGACGTTACCGATGAATTCGAGGAACGTGCTGAATCACTCTCAGGTCGGTCAAGGCATTGGGATAAGCGGCAGGACCAACAGCATGGGCAGCTCGGGGCTGGGAAGCCCCAACCGTAGCTCACCCAGTATCATCTGTATGCCCAAACAGCAGCCAGCACGCCAGCCCTTTACCATAAACAGGTAGATGGATTTAGTATTTATTGCACATATCCACCAGTGTTTCAAAGGGACATGGCCCCGTACTATGATGCATATTCAACATACACAGGATGTCTTTCTGCTATCTGGGTTCAGTTATCTTAAAACTGGTGATTGGGCCAAGCAGTCACAAGAAGCTGATTATCAACTTAACAAGGCAACCCAGGGTTTCTCAATCTAGCTACCAGCATGAAAGAGGTGCTGTTTACAGCTTTTGACCAATCTGAAATGTGGATAAGTCTGTTGGCAGCAGAGCAGCTGATTTTGCAGAAAATGACAAAACTGTAATATGAGGAAAAATCTGAAGAAAATAATACATGCTGAACCCAAACCTTTATATGCATTTTGTGTGTGTGTGTGTGTGTGTGTGAGAGAGAGAGAGAGAGTTTTTTTTTTTTTTTTTAAATAGTAGCGTAGTATTAAAAGCGCCATATGAATGTATGTGCGCTTTAAGTGTTTGATCAGGGAGACTCCCAGAGTCCTACTGTATTAATAAAATTTAGCCTATTACAGCCCGAAAGACAGCGGGTAAGAATGCAAGCCGCTGAAGTTAACAGGCATCTCACAGCTATCACAGCTCAGTCAAGAACAGGAGAAACTAATACAGTGAATATTTACTTTACATTAAAGTTTCGATGTACACAAGATGTTTTTTTTTAATCTTTCAGCTTTATCCCGGTCTGAGATTTTAAAAAAAGAAACAAAAAAAGTTCAAAACAAATAAGTAAAAATAGGCGCCCCGTTTGTAAATTTAGAACAATAAAATGGTTTGCACCCAACAGGAAAAATAAACTTATGTCTAAGAATCTGTTTCTAATCAAACATAGTGAACTACACAACTTTATCCATGCACTGAAATCCAAGGAACAGTGACATTTTGCAGAAAACTGATTGATGAGTAGGCACTGGTTTTGTACCTGTTTATCTTTAACTGTGAACATAACATGCGTGATGTACCACCTTTGTAATAATGAAAAGCCAGGGTTAACCTTGAAGTTACCTGGATGAGCTCAAATCTTGCTTCATAGTGCTGGCATGGGTTACCTTCGGTGTGTCCTTTTGTGTATACAGTTGCTTTCTAAAACATCTTTTTCTAATTAAGGAAATGTTTGTATCCTTTCTTTTTCTTTCTTTTTTCTTATTTTTTTCTGTCTGTGCAGCATGTCAGGATTTGGGATGAACCGCAATCAAGCTTTCATGAACAACTCATTATCAAGCAACATCTTCAACGGCACAGGTTGGTTGTTCACTTTTGTCTAACCATCAGGTAACCATTAGGTTTCAGCTACTTTTAGACTAACATTGCTCTGTTTGTGTGTGTTTAAAGCATAAAAAACAGCCACAGCCTGATAAATAATATTGTTTCCTGCACAAAATCACAGATTTCCATTAATGCTGCTGTTAGGGTCTTATAAGAGTTAACAGCAGCAAACAGTGCTACCCATCATACATAAACTGTGTATCCTTGAAATGAATTGCGGGAAATTAGGTCTGAATAAAAATCTGATTAAACTGAGCTGACTCTTTTTAAACTGTTACATAAATACACATCAAAAAAGGGGAGAGCTGCTACATCCTTAATCTACTTTATAATAAGGCTACATTATTACATATTTACAAAAATAGTGTATTTAAGGATTCACATGTTTGTATTGTCCTTGTGTAACAGATGGGAGTGAAAATGTAACAGGACTGGATTTGTCAGACTTCCCTGCATTAGCAGATAGGAGTCGGAGAGAAGGGACCGGAAACCCTACACCAGTTCTCAACCCACTGACTGGACGAGCGCCTTATGGTAAGCCATTAGACTGTAGAAAGTGTCTTATTTTCCTCACATGAATCACTGACAGCACATTCCATCAACATTGGAAATGGATTTCAGCTGAAAACCATCAGATGAGCTTCATAATGTTAGCTAAGCTTTTGTTACACTGCACACGACAGACTATCATTGCTGATTGTACCATTTTGTTTGTTTTTGTTTTTTTTCTTTGCTGTTACACTTTCATCATCAAGTTGGCATGGTGACAAAGCCATCAACTGAGCAGACACAGGATTTCTCCATCCACAATGAGGACTTCCCTGCACTGCCTGGGCCAAACTATAAGGATCCCACGTTGAACAACGATGACAGCAAAACTGTAAGTCACACAGCACACTGGTTGGACTTTTTTATTTTTTTTGTGAGAAGGGTACAGATCAAAAGAATTGAAATAAATACATGCATTATTTTTCCTACCTATTGATTCCCCCCCCCCCCTTCCCTTTAGAACTTGAACTCCACAAACAAGAGCACATCCAATGCAGATGGGCCCAAGTTCCCCGGAGACAAGACGGCCTCAGCACAGAACAACAACCAGAAGAAAGGGATTCAGGTGTTGCCTGATGGTGAGTCTTCACTGCCAATCGTATTGCTGCTATTCCACCAAAACAACCCTTCTTAATTGCCTTGAGTGAGGCAGTTGGACATGCTACCCTGCATTTGGGGTTAGATAATTATCAACTAAGCTACAGTGAGGAAACCCAACAAAATAACGTTCATTGTAACACAGCCATAATCACTTTTCCATTAATTCAGACTCTATAATAAAGACTTTAACTGATCAAGCACACACATCCATACATATGCAATAATACTAAGTGCAATAATCCTTTCTGTCATCGTTGTATTTTTACTCAGTTGTATATAGTATTTGTATTCTATTTTTATCTTATTGTATATTTATTTTATTTTATTCTATTCTGTACAGCTGTGTACTGTATTTATTCTTATTGTATTCTAATTTTTGCCTCATAACTTTTGCACTGTCCACTTCCTGCTGTGACAAAACAAATTTCCCACGTGTGGGACTAATCAAGGTTATCTTATCTTATCTTATTTACCTGTGATCATGAGTTCAAAGAGGTATTTAGTTGGTTTGTTCACAAAGTGTAGTTATTAATGCAGAGGTGATTTGACATTAAGTACTGAATCTAGCTCAGAGTCCAGTTTCTACAGTTTGTTTAATCTTGAGTTGTCTTGCTGCTGCAGGTCGGGTGACGAACATTCCCGCAGGAATGGTGACGGATCAATTTGGCATGATTGGCCTACTGACGTTTATCCGGGCAGCAGAGACTGATCCGGGGATGGTCCATCTGGCGTTAGGAAGTGACCTCACAACACTGGGACTCAACTTAAACTCACCAGAGTAAGACAAATTTCATTACCCTGCAAATACATACTGATTTTTCCTATAAAAAAACCACACAAAGAAACAATAAAAACTTTTAGTCCAATAATGCATGTTACATCTGTCTACTTTTATTTTTAATGAATGAATCTATTTAGTTCCCCACCGTTTCTTTGGATGGATGTAATCGTATTGTCATTAATGTATCAGTGGCTGAATACAAGAGGCGCAGTGTCTTTGTTGCCTTAGAATTAGCTTTTTATTATCTGCAGAAGGGGTGAGTCCCTTCACTGTCATTTTTATACATTAGGAACCTTTTGCATTTGTAACAGTCACGGGAGGAGCACTAAATCATACACGCTGGTCTTTTAAGTTTCAGGGTCTATGATTTTTGATATACATCAAATTTCATTCTTACTCAGAGGTAATAAAGAAATAAGAGGAAAGAGACTCCATTAGTTACGTTTGCCCCCTGCTGACTGCATCAGTAGGTTGGTAAAAGTTGGTATTTTCAGAGTTTTTGACATTTCTTCCTGTTTTATCTAAAACGTTTAGCAAACAGTCTGCTTTTGATATTAATACTAGCAAGAACTGATTGCAACTAAACTCTTTGACAGAAACTTGTACCCCAAGTTTGCCTCTCCTTGGGCTTCCGCACCTTGTCGACCTCAAGACATCGGTAAGACATTAATTTGATGTATGACAGTCCTGAGTAGCTTTCAAGACCAGAGTCAGAGCAGGTGTCAAGACATTTGCATTAGTGCTGAGGAGGAGCAGAGAAAGGATGCAATGCAATCTTAGTATTTTTGTAAAATATTTACATTTTAATCATGTTTTTTTTTTTTTTTTTTTTAACAAAAACTGTTGTTGTGGAAATTAAAGTACAAACATACATGTGGCCCTTTAAAATTACTGCAGCTAAAAAACCTTTCAACTATTTTATTACAAGTAGTTGGCTGTTGACAGAGTTAATTAATAAGATTTAGATTCTGGCAGGCCTCCTGGTTTTTGCTTTTTTTATCCAACCTGGAGACCACATTTTTGGCATATCAGTAGCATAAATTTTCAAAGCCACAGTGAATTAAAACAGTTACACACTGCTTTAGACACTCTTGTGTGTGCTGCTAACCTATATCTGTATCTGCATTTTTAGACTTCCATGTTCCATCGGAGTATTTAACAAATATCCACATAAGGGACAAGGTAACCATGAACTTGAGCTCAATGTAAGCGGTTCAAAGATTAATGTAGTAAAATAAAATTAATCTATACTGTCTTGTCTTGACTCTAGTTGGCTGCCATCAAACTGTCTCGATATGGTGAAGACCTGTTGTTCTACCTGTACTACATGAATGGAGGAGATCTGCTACAGCTTCTGGCAGCAGTGGAGCTGTGAGTACTGAGTTTTTGCTAGAAACGGGCACAAAGGTGTTTGTCTGTCCAGGAGATGATCACCTTACTTAGCAAAGAAGTTTAAAGGAGTCGTATAAAGTCGACAGTCTTTGCAGTTGCTGCTTCGTATTAAAAACATTTCACTGGCGAGCAGATGAGACAGTTTTGTGAAGAGGAAATTAAGCAATCCGTAAACAGAAAAACAAGCTAGAACATTATATAAAACTGAATCTAAATTCTAAACCACAGGGATTCTCTCAGAAGATGCAAATATAATTGACTTTTTCCTGACACACAAGTTCAGCAACATTCATCTACAACCCAGCTCAGTAGGCCTTCTAAGGCCCGTTCAGTCCAAAGGCCTCGGAAAACACAACTGAGAGCGGAAGCCAGGAGGGCTGAACCAACGCACATTAAGAAAAAGCCTAGACTACTTATTAACGATGAACATAGCTTGCTGATCTAAAAAGTAAAGGGTATGCAGAAGTGTTTTCAAATCTGCATTCATTCTTAATGACTTCTTCTTGTGTAGAAGTCCATTGGGGGGAAAATGAACCATACTCATCACTTGATGTAATCTGTTTATCTCAGTTTCTGTTTTTTTGTCCCATTTGGAGTTTAATAGATGACACAACAGGTTCTCTGTTGAATCTTTCTTGGTCCCTGGTTAGCCACCAGGTGGCGGTGTTTTATTTATTTGTTTGTTTATTTATCGTAATACTTCTTATTAATGTGTTCTTCACTCTCCAGCTTTAACCGGGACTGGAGGTACCACAAAGAGGAACGGGTTTGGATAACTAGGGCACCTGGCATGGAGCCTACACTGAAGACTAACACCTATGAGAGGGGTACCTACTACTTTTTTGATTGTCTTAACTGGAGGAAAGTAGCCAAGGTAAGAGTTGATATTATCAAGTTTTATTATTTTTAGTTTTGAGGATTAGAGCTATTATGTTAAAACTATCTGTTTCTCTAAGGAATTTCATCTGGAGTACGACAAGCTGGAAGAGAGGCCTCACGTGCCAACAACATTCAACTACAACCCAGCCCAGCAGGCCTTCTAAGGCCCAACCAGTCCAAAGGCCGCAGCTGTTCCTGTACACGACACCGTTGTCCAGGAGGGACGAGGAGGTCCACACAGCTTGGTTTTTTTATTCCTCGAGGATTTGGCTCTTTGACTGTAGGGGTCATCACCACCATTAAAACTGCCCTGCATTTTCAAATTTACAAGCTGCCCCAAAACACCAACGAATGTTTTGTTTTTATTCTTCATGTTCCTCCTGTTTTTGTTTTTTTTTTTTTTGTTTTTTTTCCTCCTCTCTTGTTTTGAGCAGGGTCTGTGTTATGTTTACGTCTCTGAATCTGAAGCCTGTTTTTTCTCTGAAAGGAGGACTGACCTTGTGGCACAGGGCAGTGACAGAACAAAGGTTATTCTTTGTATTTATACCAAGTGTTAACTGAATTAAAGACGGGGAAAAGAAACGTTGACATCCTAGGAAGCAAGTTAAAGGGTGAAAGAAATGCAATGTTTATTGTTGCACTATATTTAGTAATAAAAGAACACAAAATTTGTTTGTCCTTTTTTTTATGTGAACACTCCCTGATAATTTCTCCCCCTCTTTTCTATTGTTATTTGCTTTTCTTTTGTTGTTGATGTTTTGAGTCAGGGAGCTCATGCAATTCTCCCACATCTATACATTTCACCTTTTTAGCCTCCCTCCTTTCAATTTACATTCATCCTTCCACCCTGTTTTTGCGTCACCAAACCTTTTCTGTCACATACAGTTTCTTCGTCTCTCTGTGACGTCTGTGCTGCCCAAACATGGACACAAATGTAGGAGACTACTTTGATGGAGAAGTCCTCAGAGGCTGAACATCTACACGACTTTGCTCCAGAGCAAACAGAACTCTTTCCAGTCTTTGTTACAATTTTGTAAGAAATGTGTACATTTTTTTTCTTTGCATCACATAAATTAGTATATGTATGTACGAATGTGTATATATGATTGCTACATATATGTATGTATGTGTGTGTGTATATATATATACATATATATATATATATATGACATTTATTTTGGAAGAAATTTTGCCCTGACTTGTACCTCGTTTTTATGAGGTAAGCATGGATGCAATATGTGGATGCGACAGGAGTTTTCGGGATCTGCTGGACAGGGTGTCACATGACACTGGGCACTTGCATCAAACTAAAAAATATTAAAATGTCACATGAGGAAAGGCCTGAATCTAAGCCCCACCATTAAAAAATTAAATAAACCTGGAGATCATTATCATCCCCTGAATTTCGACTCAAACACAACCAAAAGGATGCATTTCATTTTAAGCTGATTGAACAGTGGTGGACAGCAGCATTTCATAGCAAACGGAAAAAAGACATGAGGAAAAAAAAAAAAACACAGACCAATCTTGTATTTTCTGAATTTAAAATCTTAATTTCTTTGTATTAAAGCAGAAAAAGGCTTTCCTGAACCGTGTGTCTTGTTTATTGAGTATCTTACTAAAATTGGCCTCTGATTTGTTAATACCGTGCAGTGCAACAGAGAAAATTAAATTCAAATTTGTAAGACAGTTTAGAGAAATCATCCACAGCAAACACTCGACTTTTCACACCTTTTAAAACAGACTCTGAAATGAGCCATTAAATTCTGCTGAAAATGCAAAGTTTATTTTTTATTCCTTTAGTTAATACATGGAATGTAATTACACATGTACCACATGCTTAAGATACAAAACTGGAAAACAAATGTAATGATACACCTTCAGAGCAGCAGTATAAAATAATTTAATTTTAGCGCTGTATCTTTTGCATCGGATGAATTATTTCCAAATTATGTTATCAAAACAAGTATCCACAGTTTAGAAAGGCACATACACGCCCTAATTCATACAATGTATAAAGTGGACCAAGAAATGGTACACCGTTATGGCACACAAATGTGAAATTATACATTGAAAACATTCACAAGAGACTTCATTTCAAAGTTTCCATTGAAGGCCATAAAGAATCACCATAAGTACAGTGGACACCAACAAATAGTCAGCACACCAGTTAATTGAAACAAAGATCCAAACTAGTTCATGACTGACGGTGCAGTAGTAAAAATACGTTCATCCAGACTGAGTAAAAATATCAAAAGATACACTTTTGCATTAGATTTGTTAAGCCGGCTCATCTTTTTAAAACGCTGCTGCATTTGTAAATGCTACTAATACAAAGTGAGTTATTAGATGCAGGGGTGATATCCTGATTAGCACTTTAAGTACACATTCTTTGTCTAATGAAGACCACCGTGCTGTGACAGAACACAAAGCGTTTTAAAGTCATTGTCTTTCTACAGTTTTCAACATCTTCCAGTTATTTTAAAACCCTGAACTGCACACACGAACGCAGCCTGCTGCTGAGCTCTCCTCTTCAGTACGTGACAGTGATCTGACAGCGAGGCTCACTTCGAGGCAGGGTCAGCGGGGGTGGAACTATCTGCAGAACTTCCTGCTTTGGCAGCATTTTCTGTTGGAAATAAAATGACAACTTTAATCTTTCCATCTCTTGAAAAATTATCTACAAAAAGCATACATGACGGTGGGAGTGTGTCAGTGGTTTTGCATAATTAAAGGACTTTATTAAGAACCCCACAACCTGCTAACCTTTATCTTTCTTCTCCTGAGTTTCCTCAGCTGCTGTCTTGTCAGCTCTGAAGAAGATCCGGGCGCTGCTTAAAGAGAAGTAGAGAAGCTCAAACTCCTGAAATGAAAAGGGAAAACAGTTCAGATACACATCTCAGTGCCAGGCTCACAACCACGCCAACCAGCAGTTAAACTTCTTGAAATTCAGTCTGACATTTAAAAAAAAACCCAAAATGTACCTGGAGGTACACGTCCAGCCTCTTCTGGGTGAGATTCATGGTTTGTAGCAACTTTTCATCCTGGTTGGCAGACTGAACGCTCTGCTCTTTCACCACTGCATTCATCTCTTTCTTGTACTTGTCTCTGACAGACTGGAACCAGTGCAAAGAGTCAAACTCTAGATACTGGTCCAGTAGCTTCAGAATGTACGCCACACCTGAGAGAGGAGGCAGAGAGGGGACAGAAAAAGAGGAGAGTACGTCCAAGGCCAGTACAGAAGAAAGGATTAAGGATGTCCGTGTGTATTATCAGGTTTGTCTGCTCACCCATTGCAAAGCCGTCGTCTGTAAAAGCAGCTCCAGATTTGTTTTTCTTGTTGAGTTTCTCTTTGCAGCTGATGGAGTGCTCCACAAAATTCACCGTCTAGGAGTGAGATTTGTTGCAATAAATGTAAGTAAGTACAAACTGATTTCAAGTGAAGAGAACATGACATGTAGCAAAACAGCATCAGCACTGACCAGCGGTGGTACAATCATGTAGAAGTTCCTCAGGTGCATGTTCTTTGCACTGCGAAACTCAGGCGCAAACACGGCCACCAGCATCTTGAAGTACTCCGTCCCCTCGGCAGAGTTGCTGGTCAGATCTCCCAAAACAGAGTCCAGGATGCTGTGAAGCATAATAATCATAATAGAAAGCAAATAAATGACAGCAAAGAAGGGGGGGGGGGTTTAAAATATGACCCCAAGAACGACTCCCCAAAGCTGGCGCCAGCAGTCCAGCGGTCCACCTAAACAAAGGGCCCTTGTACTCAAACAGATACAGAGTAGGTGTCCTCCCATACTATGTCTCAGAAAGAGAAGGTACGACCTCTCTCATGACCTTAGGATGTGTGTGGTACGCCAGAACACTCTGGAACGCACACAGACTCTTTGCAGACTACTAAGGATCAGACATTATATCACTATGCAATCGATTATGTTTCTAAGTACAATTGACAATCATAAAATATCACTCCAACAATCATACTCTTTTGCTATCATTTAGAGTTGTAATTTATCAACATCAAACCTTTTCTTTTAGAATTTAAATGATAAACTGAAAACAATGTGGGAAGCACTTCAGTTATCTTTTTCCTATCTTTGGTGCCCCCTGCTGGTACAATAACAGCAATGCACACAACACTAACTGCTAGGTGCAGGATTGTTGGATTACACTCTGAAGCTGACATATGACTTAAAATTCATTGATGCACCGTCCTTCCAAAATAAAGGGCCTGCTCAGCAAACAGTGACACACAAGAAGCGACTGACTGACTTTTTACAGATAACTCACCCAGCAGCCTTTTGGGTCTCCTCTGACAGTCCCTCTTCTTTCACCAGCTCCTCAAAGTTGACTATATCCTCCAGATCTGGGACAAATCTGAAGCAATAATGAAAAAGAAAATGTTTCCAATAGCAAGATAAAAATGTTTCTGATGTAAAATCACATTTAACCTCACGTTTACACAATATATCAGTAATTCCTTCTAACTGACGCCATATAAACTTTCACTCAAATTCCTTTTATTATACCTGATTGCGCTGCTGCAACAATGAAGGCCTCCAGAACGGATCATACGTACATAGCCCATGGCGTTACCTGAAAGAACAGTGTGAAATTGTGTTGTCTTTGCATGCAACTGCAGTTTAATGTTTAATACCAGAAACCAATAAAAGCATCCTCACCGATCTGGCTGATCAGCTGTCTAAACTGGTCCAGGTAGCTCTGTCCATCAGGAGTGATGCCCAGTTTCCTGATGCCACGGTTAAACTTCTCTGCTCGCTCAAACGGATACTGTAACAACAAGACAAGACATATGGTACTGTGACAGCTTAGCCCGAGCAATGACAGCTCTACTTTTACTCCCTGGCTCCAGGGTCTTCCCCCTCTGCCAAACTTCTGTTCACTTAAAATGACTGAAAATAGAAAGACAGAGAAGACTGCACCTTCTGATCAGACTGGTCCTTTGTTTCTCTGAAGAAACGTATGTCTTTGATGAGTCTGGACTTGATGTGTTCGTCGTACATAAACTGACTGAAGATGTAAAACTTCTTTTGCAGAAACTGGTAGGTGAAATTCACCTGACGGAAGAATAGAGGAAATATAAAACAGGCCTTACATCCACATATGAGAATGTCAAAACACATGCTGTTGTTTTCTGCTGGAAACTCACAGTGGTGTTCATGATTCCTGTACCGTGTGTTCGGATGGAGTTGGCGATGTGACGGATGTTGATGGTGTTCAAGTGCTTGTTGTTGCTTGCCTTCTCAATGAAGATCTGTCACAAAAACAATTATAACTGCAGAGGCAGCAACACTTTGCGATTCAATGGGAGAAAAATCCATATGGACTCTGACCTGGTTGTTGAGGTTATAAAGGTATCGTGAGACAAAAACATGAATGTTCCTCATGATCTCCAAAACATCCAAACCCTGGTGAGAACACAAGAAGGATTTAGTTAATTTGTCTATGTAAATCTCCACCTCTGCTCATGAGGGAGGAGGTGTAACCAAACAGACCTGCTCTAGTGTCTGGCTGGGCAGATGAGCCTCTGTCATTGTGAGTCCATAGCGCTGTGTAGCAAGGTTTCTCATCTCACTGTAGGTGGCCCAGTCATGCAGAGCGACAGTCGTCAGGTTGTAGAACGTTTTATCCAGGTAGTGCGTCAC